TAACACTCGCACTCCGCTAATCATGTTTAAATTATTGCATGCGGCATGTTTTTTGCATTTGCTCATAAATCCTCCAATGAAAACACAAGCAAAGTAACCAAAGCGAATTCGCATAACCAGTTCCTGTGAGCGAGTACTCACTTTCTATGCACTTCCTATGTCCTTCCTATGTCCTTCCTCGTTCTCTGGCCGTTCCGTATCGTTACTTGTGGTCGCACTCTGTCTTGGCATTTGAGGGTTAATTTGTTGTTGCTCTACTGCTCGCTGTTCACAACAGTTTGGTGGGTTTTTTTCTGTTGTCGTTTTGCTACTTTTTTAAGACCTCAACAAAAGGAGGCGTAACGAATTACCTATCACTCATTGTGTCTCTTTATCCCACAGCATTTCGAATGCCAAAATTATTGTTTCCTTTATGTTGGCATTATTTTTTATTGTTCTCATTATGTGTAGTTGATATTGTGTGCTTTTGTTGTTTTTTTACTACTTTTTGCGCTTCGCATTGCTGGTACTCCTTGGCTGGGGCTAATCAGTGGGCAGGACGAGTTGAGATTAATTCATATTGAATGCGTTTTATTGAATTTTGTGCAATAAATCGTGTTAATTTTCCGCAATAAATTTTTATGAATTCGCTAAAAATTTCTCACCATGGAAATGGCTGCGCACGCGTGCCAGTAAGCACACGCAGCTGACGTGAAATATGTATGTACATATGTATGTTGTTATGAATTTCTGAAAATCTACCATTTTCAACGGCGGTTTCGGTACATAAAAATATGGTGAATTTTCAAATCACATTAACTCTATCTGTATGTACATTCATTTTTCGATAATTTTTTTAATTTAGTCGGTTCGGTTATCGATAAAAGTAGCCGATCGAGTAGTTTGCCTGGCATTTCGTGCTACAAAAAGGTTCGAGCCTTCAAAAACATTTAAAATGTTTACAGTGGCGTACGCTGGGTGTAGCGAGAGCTCGAATTTTTTCAGAAGTGGTACAAGGTTTCCACGGACGACGTTCGCCTCGTGCGCCTCAGTACATCAACAGCCGATGAAAATGTGGAAAAAGTGAAGAAATGTGTTTTGATGAATAGTGGAACTACCATCAGAGAAATTGCTGAGGATGTTGGCATGCTCTGAAGCGTTGCTCAGTCGTGCTGCTCCTACAATTTGTGATGCACGTCTTGATGTTTTCCCACAAATGAAGGGAGTCACACTTTATACTAAGCTGACTCGGAGCGGCTGTTGCCTTTTCATGTCAGAAATAGACACGGAGGGCTTGATATTCCCTGTCGAAAAGCGGCCACAATTAGAAAAAATCATTTTCTATAATTTCGAATGCTTAATCATACCAGTACTCGAGCACTGTCCTTCGAAATGGTAGTAACCGCTCGTCCACTATAATCAACATCATAATACTCATCAAACAAAAACCCTTGTAACGCGATTTCGGAGATAAAAACCGGATGAGTAATCGGTTAGGCTTGTACATAATGGAATTACTGATGGACACCTAAGGATTGTACATAGATTTGCAACGGCATGGTACTGCTGGAGATTACAGCGAGGATGATAACATTCAGAATAGTAAAATTTAATTGAAAGCGACATGGAGGCCGACCAAACACAGATTTTGGATAGCAAAGGCGACTAAATGGCTTTGTCCTGAATGAACGATGGAGTAACGCATAGTCTAAGCCACTAATCGTATATATCTCAAACAAGGAGGGTGTGTTATGCATGTGACTTAGGCATCCGAGAAGAAATGATTTTCTGGGAAGTGGAGCTAACCCATCTAGGACATTTTTTTCAAAGGTAACTCTTCGCTTACATTTACATGGGGAACACTTTTCCTTCCGGAAAGTTAACTTTAATATTTGGAACTAAGATAGCTTTTTTTCCTAGCTTAATTTATGGAAACTAATATTTTCGAAAAGTAAACCTGTAATCGATCTGGATTCGAATGAACCCACCGAAATTCCTACTAGAACCAACAATGTTCAAATACCATGTGGTCAAAGCACGAGACAGCTTTCTCTTATACATCAATAAGCACTCGGACTAGTGAAACTTCGCTATGAAAAAACTCGGCGTTCATGCACTTCTCTCTTATCCAAATTTCATTGTATTTCTCAGGCATGTTACTTTGAAGGGGGAAAAATAGTTATTGACTAATAAATAAATATTTTTCTAGAAGAAAATCAAATTCATGCAGTATACCAACCGTAGGTAAGCTAAGGCTGAATTTCTTCAATATAAAAAACAAAATCTATTATGTGGAAAACTAAACGATTGCGAAAAAACATAAAATATAAAATTTCACAACACGGTTTGGAACTCACTTAAAGGCTTACGCTGGTAGTTACACAACCCGTTGGTCCTTTGTAGTGACAGATGGAAGTTTTTTTTGTTGTGATCTAAACTAATAGGATTTCAACGCCTTTCATTAAGCTCAAGAGCTCAAGTTGAAGAGAGCTTTAGTAAAGCCTTCTCTAGTCCTTTGAACTGTGAAGTTTCGAGAGGTAGTATAAGACAAGTTCTGCCTAAGGCTAGATAGAAACAGAGGGGGTGTTTCTAACAATCCCCGCCGGACTTCCTGCACTTCCTGCATGTGTCACTTCTACTCATGCTTATTCTGCCGACATGGGGAGCTAGTCAGTTTGGGACCATCTATAGGTCAACAACTGGCCTCCAGTCCTTACGTGAACTTGTTAGCAAGAAATAGGATTTTCATATTTAGCGACTTTTGTATATATGCAATGGTTTGCTAACAATACGAATGACACCTTTGGCAATCTCAACAGCTATTTCGTTACGCTGAATGCCCTTGACCGTTGACTCCTTTAAATGTATTTTATCCTTGCATTCTTTGACGATTATTTCCCTTCGGACATAAAGATCTGTTGTCCTCGGCCATGCCGAAATCTTTATACCTTTCATAGCAAATTTATTACGAATAGCAGAAATCGGTTTTACCCATGTTAATCATTGTGTTATAAGTTTTTTACGAATTTTAGACCCATAAGATCGTATCTGAAGCGACCGATTGGATCGCATTGATCGCGAAAGATTGCCAAAACATTACGAAAACTCATTTGTTTGCTATGATTCGTTCAAATAAATCAAAAACTAAGCGTTTAGTTTGCGTTCAAACAGACAGACGGACGAACAGACAGACAGACATGTGAGCAGGTGGACAAGTTTAAAACTACTCAGCTCGTTATTCTGATTTGATTGGTCTAAATTTTAATTTGTTTATCTCTTCTACCTTTGGCACTCTCTTACATACATACTTCAGACCAAAGTTAATCGAATATTTTATGGCCATGAAAAATATAAAAAAAGCTGCGACAAGATGGCATAAAAGTTCCCAAAGGAAATTAACAGCGAGCTTAGCTGGGACATAATCCTCAAGACAATCTAAATTGGAAGGTAGCAGGTATTCCAAGCCAATCAACTCATGTAAATGTTTTAAAGTATTTTTATTTTTATTTTTTTTGATATAGTGGCTTCATTGGGAAGAGCAGGAGAAACTGGATTTATGCTAAAGAGAGCTGACTTTGCTCTTGCCGTGAACAGTTCTTGAGAATTTTTCAAAAACTGTGTACCATTACATAAGGAATATGCTTTTGAAGAAAAAACATCTGTCATTCGACATTTCGGGCAAGTGATTAACTTTATTATAACCGTGTACCGGAAAGGTTCATTCTTCTTTTCTTCATTTTATTTACCAGAAAAAACATGTCAGTTCACAATCTTATCCAATTCGCGTTGACGTCTAGGCCAAAAGCCGTCCGACAAAAATCAACATCTTTTTCGACCCACAAAAAATCAAAAATTTCCGGAAAAAAAACACCCGCATCTGGCTGTTTTCCTAGATCGAGTCGTTTGTGGTTTTTAAGGGTGAAAACAAGCTCTAAACGACAGGGACCATACCTCTTTCAAAACTTAGTAATAATTTATAGGGGCTTTTAAGATCGCTCACTAGGAATATGTTGTCCGATTTTCAAAATACAAAATGGCGGTAAAATGTTTAAAAACTTTATTAATATTTAATGAAACTTGGTATATGGGTATTTTTGAAGTCGCTGATTTCGAAACTGTTACCAGATTGTCGAAATAAAAAATAAAAGAACTGATAAGAATGAAAAATTTGAAATCTAAAATGAAGCTTTGATTATGTGATTGAATTTTTGTCCAAATTTACAATTAAATATTTCAGAATCATAATTTACATATATTTTCAAACTGAAAATATTTTTTTGTACTCATAAACTAGTTTTATATAAAAATTTTTCAATTTTTTTTTGAAAATCTGTCATCAGATTCATAAGCAGCGACCCCAAATACCCCTTCGTTTTGTGGTTGTTTTCACCCCTTAAAACCATAAATGACTTGTTCTAGCAAAACGGCCGAGCGGGTATTTTTCTCTGGTGCTAGTTTTTGAAGATGTTTGATTTTTTTGTGGGTCAAAAATTTTGTCGGACGGCATATTATCCCCGTTTCTTGAATTGTGTTTCGTAGGACCATTTAAGGCCTCATCTTGTACAAGTATTTATGAATTAGAGACTGGGCATAAATCTAGTGGGATTATCTCAATGCTGCCGGTTCTTAGGTCAATACTCGAACTACCAATTTCTCAGATAGAAACCAAAGTCATTTTTAGGAAAACCTCTCGATCGTGTAAACTTTTGAGTACTTCAACTAACTTATAAGATGAATGATACTATTCAGAGCTGAACTGCCGACTGTGAAGCTTCCAAAATCATTATAAGTCAACATTTAAGATCAACACAATGGAAGACACAACGAATATCTGTATTGTTTAAGGTTGAGCGAAGAGCTGGGAAACATATAAAAAAATCTATCGGCATTATATGGGATTAAATGAGCACTGTACGATATTTTATAGCTCCATCGACTATAAATTTTTCGCTCGGAAGGCTTTAGAGAAAAAACCGTTTCATATTATATTTATTTTTAAACATTACTGTTATTTTCCTTACCATTTCTAACTCTAACACCTTCACGGGTATCACCCAAAATTGCTGAAACACTAAATTTCAAAATCGGCTTTGTGTTGTTATCCTTCAAAATGGTCGTTGTCGCCGTCGTCGATATCTCTTTATCCTCGATCTTAGGCAAACGCAATGCCGCACTTTCATGCAAATCCATCTCATCATCACGTTCCGGATCGAGTTCCGCCTCATCCATATCATCGTCAATACCAATGTCTGGCTCTTCCTCATCGTCCTCCACACTATCAACACTTTCACTGCCAGCATGCACAACACTCAAATGACAACATTTATCACACTTAAAATTGTTTTCGCGACGCAACATCTCATCATTATTGTAATTTTTTGTATTCATTACTTGTGCGAAATTACCACAACGATTACAGCACAACTCTACGCGCTCACCAATACGACCACCGTCGGCGGGACTGTGCACATTGCGAGCGCCATCCATATTGGACGTTAAACGATCGTACGATTGATCGTGTGCGGCGACACTACCGAGCGGTGCAGCGTTGTCTTCTTCATGTGTCGACGAGATCGTCGAATTGCGGCTCAATAACATTTCTGACTGTTTTGAGTGGGGCGAGATCGCCGAAACGGCGACAGTAACGAGTTCACCGCGCGGAACACCGCAAATATTGTTTGTTTCGCGCACAGCGTTAGACACCGTTGCGTCGGTGGTGTACGTCTCAGTCTTTACGCTGGTGCGTGGCCTACAAGTAAGGTGGGATTTTTCGGATTTAATTAATTGGATTTTCTCGATCAAAAGCTCAGCTAACATGGCCAACGCGCACACGTACCAAGCGAAATTAACGAGGCGAAATTATTTGCTATTTTCGCGTCCACAGCTATCTGGCGGCGTTGCAAGTCAAACTATTGCGCACGCCGTGCAAAGGCGACAAGGACTAAACTAGAACTGAAACCATATTGAATGTGTTTTGGCTTGCAGTTGCGCGTGCATGGCTTTCGGTTGACTGCTGCTGGTTGATAGCGACTCACAATGGCTTGGTTGGCTAACGGTGGTGGTGGTGGTGGTGATGGCAATGGTGATGATGATGATGATGGTGGAAACACTGCTCTTGTTGTTGTTGCTAGGATTCTGCGCTAGTTTAGGGGTTGCTTAACGGTGGTTGGTCTATTTCTCCTGCCCGCAGTGTCATGCCTTTCAGAGTGTGTTTGCGGGTATGTGTGTGTGTGTGTTTAACTATGGCAAGTGCCATATGTATGCAGCGCTGAGTGTGTGCTGTATGTGGCGCCTTCTGTCCATTATGTACTTGCGCACTTAATACATTTATGTAATTGTTTATATATGTACATATATTATTTATTTATTTGTGTGGCAGTTAAGGCAACCTCCATTGTGTGCTTTATTGTCGCTCATTGTTCTTGTTGTTGTTGTTGTAGTTGTTTATTTTTTGTTTCGTTGGGTTGTTGTTTTTGCTGCTCCTGTTGCTTTTTTGCTTAACGTATTGTTGCTGTTGTTGTTGATGTTTTGATTTGATTTTATTCGTGTGTTATAACAATAAAATATTAATTTTCTTGTAAAGTGGATATAACAATATTTGGATGTGTGAGATTTTCCTGCGCTCTCTGCACTCTTCTGCTGTATGCTGTGGTGTGTTAGCGGTGGGGGGGGAATAATGTGTGGTGTGGCGTAACGACATCTACATATGTACATATATATGGATATCTCACTTAACGGTTTATGGCTATTATTCTCAGTTTATTTATGGAAACGCTGCATATGTAGAAGATTTTGGAAATTCCAAAACTAAAAAATACTACTAAAAATAAGAGTGTTGTCAAAAAAAAAAAAAAATTTTTATAAAAAATAAAAATAAATTAAATACAAATATAATAAAAATGTAAAAAAGAGCAAACAACAAAATAAATCAATTGAAAATGCTAATACAGTCGTGTCTGGATGGATCAAGAATTAGCTTAGCCGCTTTTTTCTAGATGTAGTGAGCACACACATTTTATTGTTATTTCTATGGAGTTACTATAAACAGTGACCAATCACAAAATTATAATCCTTCTTCTAACTAACGTAGACACCGCTTACCGCTTATAGCCGAGCTGACATGAGCGTTTCATTCATTCATTTCTTTCGCTGTTTGACGTCCATCGCAGATACCAAATATAGCCACATCCTACTCTATCTGGGCTTTGAAACGGTTTGGATGTCTTGTTCTTCGACTGCTTCTACCGGCGGCTACTACATGGAATACTTTCAGAGCTGGAGTGTCCTTATCAATCCGGACCACATGACTTAGTTAGGGTAGCCGCTTTTTTCTTGATTCGCTGAGTTATGTTAAGGTCGGCGTATATCTCTTACAGCTCATCGCTCAATGGACCGCAGTATTCACCGACCCCCTAACGTCAACCCACTAGATATTGTCATCGTCCATGCCTCCACACCATATAGCAGGACGGGAATGATGAGCGACTTGCAGGGCTTGGTCTTTCTTAGACGAGAGAGGACTTTACCCTTTAATTGTCCACTCAGTCCAAAGTAGCATTTGTGAGTAGACAGTGATTCCGCGGTGGTTTTCCAGGCTGACATTGTTGTTGGCAAGATAAACGAAGTTATCGTAGATTTTAAAGTTATGACAGTAACAGTGGCGTAAGAGCCGAGTTGTGTAAGCGATGGCTGTTTGTTTGATGTTATTTGATATTTTCAGGTTTTGAACTTAAAGTAGTCGTTGCTGGTTTTACCGTCCTTACCCTACTTAAAGTCAATGCCCAGTTTTGCATTTTAGTTTTACCTTTGGAGGGCTCTAATAACTTCCTTAAGCCATTCCAGTCTCGCTGTGTGGGTGCACTTTACGAACTGCGCTGAGCTCCCCTGCACTGTCAAACAATGTTGTAGAAGTTCCCGGCTTTTCTTGTATACGCTTTATCATGAAGCTTAGCAGCTCCTTCTTTATAGATTTCCACCTTTCAATGGTTGTCAGACTATAATAGTTGCTGTGTGCCAAATAATGCGATGGTTCTGTGCTGCATGGCTACCTCGCTTGAGACGATGCAAATGCCATAGGCTGAGCTCCGCCTCACCGTCCTTGAAATGGATCGCCGCTTATTCATTGTGAGCTTTTAAGGCCTAGCCCGTTAGCAGAGTTCCTTTGAGGCTAGCCGATTGGTTTTACGGAAGTTAGCTTCTTAAATTTTACCTTTGCATGCTCATACTCTTCGATAATCTTAAGGAACTTGGGCTCAACTGCACTATAATGCTCCCCATGAAGTGCGCCCTACCAGCTTCTACTGTTTTTGTAGCCCTTTCCAGCTCTAAGTCTCTGTGTTTTAACGACACCGGCTTAAACTTACTGAGATTATGCTTTCTTTGTGGGATTCGATATCATCCACATTTATCTTAGGGAGACTCGAGGATGACGTCTTTGTCACTTTATTCTTACATTCTTTGCAAAATTTCAATTCAACGTTACTCTAAAATGAAATAAGATAAGTTTCTTCATGTTTGCTTCCGGTTCAAGATCTCCGAAGACGTGTCAATAATGGTTCTTGGTATTGTTGTAGAGCCTATCAAATTCCGCTGATGAAAATTATTTCAAGTCATCGAGGGCATCCAACGCGAGGACCACGACAGGCACAGGAGTGGGTTTAAGAAGGCATGCAAAGAGGAGGTTTGTGTCGTCATGTCTTGATAAGTAGGAGTGAAGCCGACTGCAATATCCAATATGGCTCCGGTCAATCATGTCAGCTCGAGCTTTTGTTCTGAGGTGGTTGGATTCCGAGTAAGACATTCGCGGTATGTCAACCTGTTTAGCTCTCGGCAGATTTCTGTTGGGATGATCCACTCGAAGAAAGTATCCCAGAGGATATTGCGTACGCAGCATAATATTGTAATCTGCTATAGCGAGCATAGCGTAAGGTGCTGCCTGGGCGACATCAGGAGGTTTCCAGTTCCGATTCTCAGGGCGGTGGGTTTTGTCGGGAGCTCAATGAATCCGATTCGCTAGAAGAATCGCACGTTTGCAAACATATTTAAGGGCAGAAGCTCTCATTAAATAATATTTGGGAAAAATGCGGAAAGTTTCTGTCATAATTATAGGTAATTTTTCCAAGCACTTTGGCAGTACACTCGCACTTTGTGGAGGGACTTAACTTGAACTTAGTAACAAGCGCCAAGAGCGACTCAGACTTAAAGACTTCTGCGTAACGTTTATTATAGGCACCTTAGACCTCATCACAGATTTTCTCAACATATTTAAATTAACCTAAAAAACTCTGAGAATATAGAAACAAATATAAAATATTCAAATAAATTTTTTTTTTCTAACATTTCTTCTTTGCTCCACTTAGCCACTTGCACCGCTGCTAGGGACATATAGACTAGTACATACATACATGAGTCGTCATCATATTTAACAAAGCATTTCAACATTATGAACTTTTATTATCACCACAAATTAGTTGTAGCATGTCTTATTTACTCAAAGTTCAGCGTAAAGTATGGCGCAGAGTGTCAACCAAGTACTGCTCACACAGTGACCTCTCAGTTCCGCAGCTCCAGTCTCTGTTAGTCCAGTCAGAACAAGCAAACGAAGAAAAAGCACTCACACTTATAGCAAGCATTTCACATATACACGCACACGAATGCACTGCATATATACTTTTGTATGTATGTATGTATATATACATATACATGGCAAGCAGTTGGCAGTTGTTGCAGGAAGTCAGCAAAGTAAGTCATAAGCCAACAGCAGGACACTTGTCTCAAGCAAACGTTGAACGGAGAGTAAATACAAGTGAATGGCCTTGGCTTATGCATACGTGTGCGTTCGTGTGTGTGTGTGTCTGTGTATGTGTGTGGCAACTACTTGAAATTTATTTAATATGAATGTCCATTTTGCCGTTTATTTTTATTTCACTCTAATATTGTTCTAGCAATAGAAATGTGTACACAAACAACTCTACACACACACACACACAACCCGAGAGAGAGCACAAACATTACACTAACATACATATGTATCTATGTATGTATGCATGTAGAAAGCTTGGCAAATACTTCGTATCCAATCAACCCTTGAGCCTGTACATATATGCACGCAAAGATATGTAAGTGTGTCTGTGCGTATCCTTGCAAGTGCCAGCGAGCATTAAGTGAATTTATATGAGTGTGTTAATGTTCGAAGAGGCGTGGTCTCGTAGCGGAAATTCTCAATTNACCTTTTCCAACCATGATTTGTTGATTGTGTTGGCTCCTTTGGCATGATGTGGGTTGGCTGGTGCGTTGGTTGACTTTATTTGAGTTTTTATGTTTTTTTTTTATAGAGAAGTATGCTTTGTATTTGTTGTTGCGTTGGTCTCGCTTGCTTGCAGTTGGATGCAGAGATGTATGAGGGTAAGTGATGGTCTGCGTATCCTTGCAAGTGCCAGCGAGCATTAAGTGAATTTATATGAGTGTGTTAATGTTCGAAGAGGCGTGGTCTCGTAGCGGAAATTCTCAATTCAACTCAACACGGCGCAGCGCAGCTCAGCTCAGCTCAGTGCAGCACTCACAATAATAAGCATAAGGATAATACAAACAATGGTCATACTCTTTATTGTATTTTATTGCTTGGAACTTGGCGCTGCTCTTGTAGCTTGGATGGCCCACTTGCTGGCATAGCTGACTGAGTCAGCGTCACGAACTATTATTTTTTTCTTATATTTTTGTTGTATACCTTTCAGGCAGAAGAAATTAACTAAAGTTTGTCCGCAGATTGGAAGGTCCGGAAGGTTAAAGGACAGTTGTCTTCGAGCTGATTAAATGAAATATTCAGAAAATTAGACCATCCGAACAGCCTCTGAACAAAAGAGGAGCAATTTTTTGTCAAAATTTCGGGAGTTTCACGAGGCGGATTGAAGTCATCGTCTTCCAAAAAAAAAAAAAAAAAAAACGCAACGGATACAGATTTATACGGACCAAGCCACACTTTTGGGCGATCCAACTGCTTTAAGGTCGGGAGTAAGCAGTCGGTGGAATGGTAGCTAGTGGATTCACGCTGGACAGCCTTATTATTTATGCACCCTGTAGTGAATTAATACTTACTTTTTTCCATCGGCTAATTGATTCAAGAAATCTGTGGGGCTTTAAGGCTTGTGAAAGAGAATTCAGATCAAACGACTGCGACTCTATTGACACTTTTAGAACTTAGTTCTTGAATTAAAAGGATTAGACCTGGTGTGGAAGCTCCCTTAAGTGGCGAAATTTTGTAAACTTAAACCAAAAGTGACCAGAAATGATTCTTTTAGAAATGTCTCACGACTAAGACCGGATCTAGCATCTTCTGAGTAGCCAGTAAACATCAATTTTTAGGCGTCTTAAAATGAGAAAGCATAGTCCCTGCGGCGTGTTGTACTTAGGGTGTGAAAATCCGCATACTCAATGAACTTCGGATGAGAGACCGCCTCTCTGATGGCATTTTGGGTATCACAATTAGTTGGGAAGATGTTGATACCCAGTTAGTCTATGATCTTGTTAAAATAAGGTTGGCATCAACGCCGTTCAAAGAGTACCATGGACGGTATCTACACTAATGAAGAAGAAGCAGAAAAATTGTGCCACGAATACAAAGCACTGTCTTCGTAAATTTCTCCACTCTTTCGTTTATCAGACTCTGAAAGTTTAACACTAATTTCGAGGTTAGTGTCACCGGCCGTCTAGTAAATTCAGAGGCGCTCTTATCATGTTTCAGATTCTCTTTTGACGTGAATATATTTAACAAGCCTCGTTCGTTTCTCATCTGGGGTCTACAATATCTTTAACAGTCTTGGCAGTTTGCGAATTTTTGTAATCAGTTTGGTTTTGGCGCTTCTGGAAGGGATTAAGATGCATTTTGTACTTATTATTACTTATTTCAGTAGGGGAAAGTGAGAAAAAGGCAGAGAAAGTGAGAGAGATAGAGATATAGGGAGAGAGTGCGAGTGATAGAGATATGGAGGGAGAGAGTAAGAGAGAGAGAGCGAAAAAGAGGGAGAGGAAGAGAAAGTGTATCGTTTTCGTCATCAATTTCTGCTATAGATATCTGCTTAAAGCCTTCCAGGAGGACTGTACCAACTCCATATTTTCATGTTTTCTGAGGTGCTCTCAGTTAAGTGTTTCTTTATGTACCTTGGGTTTAAATAATATTTTTTGATGTCGATGCTTCAGCTCGGTATACCCGCTAACTCTCATGAGTCACTCCTGTTATGAAAGTAGGCAATAAAACAAGCTCGTTTCGTGAAAGGCATAAAAATATTATGTGATGATTACACAATATCTATGTGCATATATATATATACGTAAATACCAACATTCATTTATCGTTATTCGATTTCTTTTTTAGTTTCATTTATTTTTCGCTTTCTCCGCCACAAAAGATTTCATTTTCGTTTTGTTGATTGCGCTGCCATTTGTGGCTTTTTGGCTTGCCCACCAACTCTTACACTGCGCCCAGCCACTCGCTCAGCTACCTACAATCTCCTCGGTCCGCCGGCATTCCTTCCATGTTGGCGCTGTGTGTTAGTAGCATCCTCGTTTATCCTTTGGCTGTGCCGTTGTGTTTGGAGAGGTCGCATTATACGGGTACTCGACAATTCACATTCAAAGGATTGCGCGGTAGTGAAGAGCTTACAATACAAGCCAGCAGTTGGACACAGAGTACTTATTTCTTTCTATCTTTTTACGCTCCTCCTCTGCCGCAACCCTGCTTGTGAGTGTGTTGTGGTGCGCTTCAAGTGGGGCTGCGGTGCGGGTGATTGGCTGTGAATTGTGTGAATTGTGTGCGCGAGTATATGAAGTATGCTCGTATAAGCGTATAAATATGTGATAATAATGATTAAAACTCTTTTGCCAGCGTCATTTATGCAAAGGATTTTCTCGCATTTTTATTTCGCTCCTCGTTATTTAACCTTTTCCAACCATGATTTGTTGATTGTGTTGGCTCCTTTGGCATGATGTGGGTTGGCTGGTGCGTTGGTTGACTTTATTTGAGTTTTTATGTTTTTTTTTTTATAGAGAAGTATGCTTTGTATTTGTTGTTGCGTTGGTCTCGCTTGCTTGCAGTTGGATGCAGAGATGTATGAGGACTGCGCTGATAATGGGACGTGGACAATTATTTGATAACTTAGCAAGTGCAATGCAATCTGGGTTTCTTTTTTTTGTACAGAGAGATAATTCACATTTTATCTTTTGAATTGTTTGAATTGATACTTGGATTGCCTTCTAAATTTCGGTATTAGAGAAAAAATATTTATAAATGTTAATCCTCAAAAAACACTCTGTTCTTTTTTAAGATTATCTGCTTCGAGATCTGTGCGTTGCATTTTCGCTACGCTGATTGAGGCATCTCGAAAACAAATATTCTGAAATCATTAACCGCCTCTATAAGTGCCGAGAAACGTTGAGCTCTCAGCATATTTTCTACGTGCGGGAATAGAGAGAAGTCATTCGGTGCCAAGGCAGGATATAAAGACTAAACAAATCGATGATTTGAGAGCTTCCGGCGAAGTGTGAGAGCTCGGATCGCCGTGGTGAAAAGTGACACGCCTTCGGCAGCCGGGTTTCCAGACTTCTTGATAAACAACCGGCGAACAAATACTTGTGTACCACTAATAAATTACTGTTCTGCATTGTTCGGGTGCTAAGGTTGCGACATATATAGTTTACAAAAAATACAGGTAACCATCTGATGGAAAGGGCTTTCTGCGAGAACTGCTCTTGTTGGACTCAGCTCCTCTTTAAACACCCATACAGTGGACTGTTGTTTACCGTCGGTCTCAAACGCATAAATGGACGATTCATGACCTGTTATGATGTCCGTCAGTCGCGCACAGCATCAATAATTTCCGGAAAAAGAATTGCTTTTCGGTGATGGATGTATGTAGATGCACTCTTGCAGAGATATCCACGCCAAAAGGCAGACCTGGATATTTAGAAAATTAAAATTTTTTCTATTTGAAGTAGAAAATATAACATTAGGTGTATTAAAAAGACATAATGGACTTCATGTATGCATGAAATTGAAGTTTTTTATTTTAACTTTGCGTACCCAGCCTTATTCAAATGGTTCCTAACGGTTTTTTGTGCAATCTTTAGCTCTTGGGTAATCAAAATAGTGCTTAAATGACATGATTTTATCGACATTATCGACGATTGGCCTTCCAGTGCATGGTGCGTCTTTCACCTCACGGAACGAACCTGGAACGGAGTCGAGGAATCCAAAATTGGGCTAATTGACTGTTACATGCTCTCATTTAACTTGAGTATGAGACTACCAGATCACTGCAGCGTTTTCCACGCGAAACTCTTTGCAGTCATGGAGGTGGCCGAGTGGTTGCACAAATCTAAGGCAGCAAGACAGTCGGCTGCAATATATTATACTACGACAGTCAAGCTGCAACCCAATCAGATTCAATGTATTTGTACCACATCAAAAGTGGCTATAAAATGTGGGAACCTTTGCACTTATGCAACGGAGGGGATAGGGGAGTGTAGACGCAATGTCGACTAACTTAAAAATGTCAGACGGATAATCGGTCGAACTAACGTCAGGTTCAGGGGGCATTGTGAAGAGTATAAGGAGTTATGACCACGTACTTGGCTTTCCTTGAAGTTCACGTTGAAGAAAGTTGGGATGAGTCCTTTTGACGGGATGGAACAGGATCAATTTTTTCTATCTCTCTTTCACACATCGTGTTTCTTCTCTTACAGCGTCAGGCACGAGGAATATTTTTGTTTCTGTAGTTAAGATCATGGCAGGCGAGAACTGTCCATCCTACCGACGAGCTAGTTTGAGATGTAAACGTGACTACAAACCGCCCCGCCGGGCATGAATAGAAAGCTACATAACTGAACTTTCTTAACAAACTCTCAACTAAAGGTAGTACTACCGTTGTCTGCATGCCAGAATACAGTGAAATCCCAGGAAATTGCATGACAGACGAGCTAGCGAGGGAAGGAACTCTTCTTCTCCTTTATTGGCGTTGGCACCGCTTATGCGAATATAGCCGAATCAATCTTAGCGCGTCACTCCTTCCTTCTTTTCGCTCTCTGGCGCCAGTTGGAAATATTAAGTGAAGCCAGGTAGAGAGTACCTGTTCCTTTCAACGGAGCGGAGGTCTTCCTCTTCCTCTGCTTCCACCAGCGGATACTGCTTTGAATACTTTTAAAGCTGGAATGCTTTCATCCATTCGGACGACATGCCGTAGTTAGCGTAGCCGCTGTCTCTTGATTCGCTGAACTATGTCA